CCTGCAAGAAATTCAAGATTCGGTGTCTACAATATTTAAAATCATGAAAACGAGCGTGCAAATTATTCTAATAAATCCTGTATTGAAGCTAGTCATTTTTCATATTTATTTGGATTCTCGACAATGGATGTATTCGGATTAATATGCAAACGCTTTTGTGAACGGTTACTCCCTTATAGGTACTTACATCGCGTATGCAGTATTGAAATTTTCTCGATAAATTAAAATTTCAATGCAGCTTTAATCGATATTAAAATATTGAAACATTGTGTCGACGCGTGTAGCATTGAAATCGTTGCCAGAAGAAATGAACTTTTGTTTAAAACCAGTCTTCGTGAATTATAACAACAACGCTGTTTCCGCGTTTTGCATTCGATTCTCGGGACAATGCGTCTCGAATTTGAATAGCGGCACGTGTCTGTTGTTTCACGGAAATTTTCAACGATTTTCGGAAACGAGGATCTTTAACGAAGATCACGGAGTTTCGAGAAAATTCCTCTTCGTTTTGGAAGTTCCATATATCAACCTAGCGTGGGACAGGTGAAGTTACACCTCCATTTCAAGAATTATGAGCAAGAGATGAGAGGTTCCGTCGCCTTTGGGAATACTTGGAATTTATAGGAAAGTTCGACAATCAATTGGCATTCAATCAGAGAACCATAATATACGCGTTCATAAATCGTTGTGTAGTAATCAATATTAGATTCAATAAAATAGGACCTTCGTTAAAATAGGCTTCTCGAGCTACGTTCGAGCAAACACGGTATCGTTCAGGGGATTTTATTTAATTTCCGGTGGTCGTGAATCGTGAAAACGAAAACTGTAATATTCAATCTTGAAAGATTAATCAAATCCCCGAAAAAATGAAAAATTCTTTAATTGAACATTTCCAAGCGGTACCATTGAAATCCGAAAATAAAGTGCAACTCCTATGCAATTAACTTTTACCTTCGCTGCCAGATACGCCTCGCACGATCTGTATTCTCCGCAAAATTGAAATGGATTACCGGTACGATATCCTTTCGCGTTAGACTTTCAGGGAGTTTCGAAATCACGTTCGCTGCTTCCGATCCGGCTAATTCACCTCCAGAAAGGCACGAATCTTTTTCGTGGCCTTAAGATCGCGAAAGTACCCGACATTCTTTGAAGTAATTTTTGGTTTAGCGACTAAAACATAGCTCGTTTGGACTGTCCATCGTGGATTTTCAGGAATACACGAATAAATTGGTATAATCTCGCGATGAAACGAAATTTATGAATACTAGTACGAATACGATTGAGCTAGTTAAAGTTTATGCTCTTTTGGAACGCTTTCTCGTTCATTGAATTGGCGAAGAGTGTTTTATAAAGTTCCGCCATTTCAATACGTGGAAATGTTTTTCAACTGGAAAAAAAGGTTTACATAAAGTTACGAATTTCCATGAAATATTGAATTTATATATTCCAATAATTAACTTTTAACAGACCAGAAGGAAAAGTAACGCAGAAACAGGTTAAATGTTACATATGAAAAATAGTTAAAGAGAACACTACTTACATATATTTTCGTTAATATTCCGTTAATATTATTATAATATTGCGTTTTATTATTGTAAAATGCAGAACCGACAAATAACAGTTATAGAACCAATATTTGAAGAACCGGAACCGGAGCCGATATATCGAATAACAATTATGTCTTTATTTTGGTTTTCCGTCACTGTTTCAGTCGGCACCAATATATAACAGTTTCAGCCATTTTCGGAACCTTTGCAATCCCTGTTTCGGGGTTACGATCGCGAACGTGTTCTGCCCTCTTTGAAATTTTCGACACGTCGCACAGTGCCCAAAAATTCGATTATTCACGTAACGAAAATTGAAAGTTATCAATTTGTTGCCAAGTAGTCTCTGCTATACAAAAAGATTTTTATTTCACAAATTAATGAAAAATAACCACAAATTTAGCATGCTCAAATACTGTCCCACAGACATTCTGGGTTTCCGCGTATTTATATTTTTCCCTCGTATTCATTGTTAAATATATTTATAAAGATTTTTAACAATGAAGAATACTCTCCGAAGCATGTAGATCAGATTTCAAATAATTTTGTGTAAATGAATTCTGTTCCTCTATTTGTATAACGTTGGAATCGAAGTATGAAATGCTCCTGTATCCTGTAGTTAATATTAGCCTACAAAATGGAGAACCTTCGGGGACCTTATGATTTTCGCAGCGTTAGGGAGAAGGTCTTCCCTCCGCGTTCCATTTTCATTATCTCCCTTTCGTCTCGCATCGTCTACACGGAGAGGCACGACATGTGTCACGAAAGCTTGTTTAACCTTACCCCCGAAATGGTGTATGATCTGCAAGGATGTTAGGCGGGTGGGGGCGTAGGGGCAAAAAATACGTGCATCGCTCGCTTGCATCCGGACGACGAATGTGACACACGCGACGATAAGGCATGTGACCAGTGACGTCCACGATATTTCCTGTGTTCGGCTGACGCAAAATGGGGCACGAAATGTCGAAGGCCGAAAACCACCGAGAAAGGGATGAAAAACGACGATGAACGCGATAGAGCTGGCGACTCTGTGTCGTTTCATTGCTTTTAATTATTAGAGATTTTCAAGGAAAAAACCGGTTTCTGAGTGTTTCTTTTATAGACAGATTGATTTATAGAGTGTTCCGTTTAGTCGACAATGGGGGAGTGTCTCGTAAACTGAAAATGTGACGAAATTATTAAATACGCTGCACTGAATCATTAGTATTTGTAGAATTTGCATGGAGAAAAATTCAGATGAGATTGAAATTTTAGATAGTATTTTTTATATAAGAGAGGATTGTTTTAGTTACATAATATATCTCTACGACTTAAGTAACTATCGTATTATATTTGTATACGTTGTACATTTGTTTTGTTACAATAGAAATATATTTTTGAGCTTGAATGATGAACCTTGTTATTTGATGACTTATTTTATTTTATGACTGACATGTTAATCAACCTATGAAATCAAAATAATTGTACTTTCCCTTTTCATTTTGATGTTATTGTTAATGGTGGCTTCTGTTATTTTTGAAGCATTTTATAGTTGCATTAATAATCGAAAGTAATTGAGACAATCCCATGTTCCGATAGCGCATCAAAATATTGGTAAAATACCCATTGTTCAAAAGCTTGACGTATTATTCAATAAATATGAAATTTGTATGTGATATTCTTTTTTCTTGTGAAGCAAAAACTGTGGTTTCTGTAAAATGCGTTTCTCTCCAGAAACCCTGAGGCCAACTTTTCAATCAAATGAATCACCAATACAATCTGCACAAACCTAGCCTTACACTGTAAATTAATCATGGTACCTACACGTTTAACTTACAAATCTGATTTCTACTATTTTAACGAACAATAATAATTGTGTGATGTTATAACTTATTTATATGCATCTCCCATTTTATTTCACTCTGATACTGCAAACAGATGGAAATTCAAAATGGAGAGCCTCGAAACTAGTGTTCAACATGTAAATGTGTATTTATAATATAATTTGCATACTAATTCACTCTTCATGTTTGCGTTCATAAATAATGCATTTCCAGTTATGCATTCAATTACACTCTCCCAAGTATTCACATTTCTCAGTTGTACTCGTAAATGCTATTTTTTATTTATTAAATTTTCTACATATTCTGTGTTTCATTTTATAGCAAGATCATGAACTGTCTCTATTTGAAAATGCAATGTGGCGACACGAGGCAATAATTGAAAGTATATGGATAATAACAGTAAATACACAAGAAAAAGTAAAGTAAAGAAAATTTAATAAAATTACTTTCTACCATGCAAATTTGTGCCTGCGACAGGACAATAAATTAAAGCATTTGCGACGATGTGGCTGTACGATAAATCTTCTACGTTTCTTTCTGTCGACCTTTAATGATTTCACCGCCGCAAAAAAAGAAATTCACCATCGAGCACGAATATCCTGCATTAAATTGTGTCGAACGCGAACATGGCATCATGACTCATACAAGCAGCTTTATTAGGAATCACTGCTGTTGCCGGGGCTTCGCACAGTTCACAACACTTTCGTCATTCATAATATTAATGGAAAAGCAATTTCGTTAATTCCGTAATAGCTCGCCGTGCAATCGATATGTTATCAAAACTGATCCCTCACTCTCTTGGCATATTATTCCGTGATTGCGTACTTTTGATAGAGCTTAATAATTAAAATACGGATCATTTGGTTCGTCATTCGTATATTTGCAGAAACGCGGGGATAAATTCGTATGATCCATCGATGAAACGAAATTTATGAACACCAAGCACCAACCAGTCCAATCCAGCTAATTGATATTCATGCTACTTTCGAACGCTTTCTCGTTCACCGAGTTGCTGAAGCTGCGAGGGAACGATACTTCGAAAAGTTCCGCCATTTGAGCACGGAGAAATGTTTTTAAATCGGGGAAAAAACGTTTACACGAAGTTACGAATTTTCATTAAATATTTTATCTACGTGTTTCAATATAGTTATTATAGTTTGGTATACATTTCCACGAGTTCCGGTGGTAATAATCATCCGAAAAAAATGTCTGAGGTCGTTTTCCATAATATTTGTTAGCAAATTTGATTAAAAATACAAGACTTTATTGAACGATAAGCATTTTAATGAAAGCAATAGGAAACGTTGATTCAAATGAGATTTCATTAAAAGGGTAAAAGTTGATTCTATCAAAGAAAGAATATGTCAAGAATATATAATCAAATTTTTCATTTGAAATCTTCATTTCGATGAAATGCGGTCTACAAATTTTCCCAGCATTTGATTGATTGTAAAATGGACGTATTCGAATTCGATTTTGTGATTTCGATATTTTCAAATGACAATGATTCAGTTTACTTTTTCAATTTATTGTTTTATGCAGATTTGTACTCCTTTTTGGTTGAAGCATTAAGACACACTGTATATCTCGTTGAATAATACTCTGTTATAAACGTGTATTACTGCACTTTTTCCAGAATGTTCGGAACATGACTAAGCATTAAGGGGAAGGTGTCAGTGACTCTGTTAGTTACTGCCACCGCAGACTTCGCCTGAAGGAATGGAGCTGAATGTGACAGATATTAGCCTGAACGGCACCGACACCAATCGAACTTCATCGCCAGTCTACATCATTAGTACGCATTACATGATGCAATGGTGAGTACACGAATCTATAACGTGACAAATAGAATCTTTAATTTTCAAAATTGCTAATTAACCTTTTCAAACTTTATCATAATCATTCTATTCTCAGCTGTAGAAACGACTGTCTGAACATTCGACAATGAACTGCGAATCATAACCACAGAATCGAACATTTTCAGATGTATATCAATTATAAATAACAGTGTACATTTTTATGATATTGTTAACAAATTTCGTCAAGGACTGGAGAGAATTAAATACTTCCTTTGGGTGTTCCAATTTAAAACTTTTTGCTTTTATTAAAGAAACAAGTACATTTATTGTTATATTAATATTTTCTATAAAAGATGAACGCTATTAATATTAAATTTACCGTTATCATTATTGAAAGTATTTTCTATATTCGATAAGTGAATAATTAACAACTAATTAATTACTAATAAAATGGTTATTTATAAATGAAAGATTAGTAGTTACTTTAGTATTATTACTATGAATCACAATGTATGTGATTCAGTTGTAAAAAAATGGTTTGTTTGAAGGTATCCTTAGAGAATGATTACCGTACCACGTAATTGTTTACAATTATTCAGTTCAGTTAAAGCAAGGTAACTGCCCGCATGTAATGGGTCACCCGCAGGTACACTGAACAACCCTTATTGAAGGGTATGGAAATGCCGCTTGTTGCTCTCAAACGGGCCGACACGTTGCAAAGTACACAAATCTAGAATATATAAAATCAAAGTTAAAGCTATCTCACTCTGATGCTTCACTTACAGAAAATTCGAATTCAAAAATTGACGATGATATTATATTTTATTATATTCTATCGAATACCATAGTAACAGATATTACAGAAAATATATCTTGAACCAAAGAATTCTATTTGAAATTCTCAGTTTCATGAAACGATCTCGCTTCATATTACCAATAATTGACAATCATGTCTTTCGACTATAAAATCCAATAATTGTGACAAACTGCAGATAAATTTCACGGTACAATATTTTTCCTTATGAAGTTTACAATTTCTAAGGAACATTATTGATTTTATGATATTAAAGAAGCGTGATTCCATAAAGAAAAGGCTTTGTTCCTTTGCTTCCCATTTAATTACATCGTGCAGCATCCCCGTATCGACTTCAGTTACGCATTGATTAACAAATAATTGAATTTGTTTGTACCGCTTTTTACAAGGAATGAGTTACTTCCATATCGGAAGAATAATTGCGTTTTTTTTCGACGACGGCCGATGCATAATGGAATCAATCCATTAAGTGGAATACTTTAAAGTACTCAATATCGGTTCAAACCACTTCCCGGTAACATTTATGATTCCATTTAAGTGATTTCAATTACATCGACCATCCTGCACTTTCGTTACCATTGTTTCTAAATATTAATTAGCATATTTCTTTGGATTTCTTTGTTTCCATCAGTTTTCCATTTATTCGTCTTTCTCATACTGTGTACAGGGTGTGCAATATGAAACAGAACACTAAAATACCTTATTAATACTATTGATAGTACAGAAAAGAGTCTCACATTATGATCAGATTGATCTCAAGAGACAAAGATGATGATTTTTTACGTATATTATTTTATTCGGTTCATTTTAAGGTTTCTTTGTGTATTTTTATCGGATCATCAAATTAATAATGCGATACCCGTACACATTGTTTATTTTTAAACACTGCGATAAACTAAACTTTGTTTGATCTAAAATATATTCTCTTGCATTATCTATGGATTGTCTATCTACATATCATAATTAAATTCGAGAAAGTTTTAGTACTCTTAATTTTCAAAAATAAGTAAGAGTTAAAAAAACTACATTATTTATGGGATAACCAAATAGACAAAGTTGAATACCTTTTTTAGAAGATGGTATATTATGCATTATTCAAAGCTGGAAGAAATTAAACTGATTTTCATTCGTGATGAATGGCTACTGTGTCTCAAAGAAACAGACTGCAGGATCCTACATTGTTACAGCTCATCGCTATTTGATCAAATGTTCAAATATCATTTGTACGGAGAACGACCTACCACGACGGAAAGTATAACCGTATAATTAGATTTTATGCTGACATTAAACCCGAAACTATTGAAAGAGCTACATATGTTATCAGCCATTGTTCGTTTTAAGGTGCAGATATACTACCAAGATATTTGCGACATTTCTTTTTATACCAATTTCCAAAAGTGTTTAGACTTCGATTTTATTTTATTTTATTTTATTATTAATAATACAACTGAATTGAATTTGCTAGCTGCAATTAGATAATAATTAGATGCATTTACATACATTATGAAAGTTGGTATCAGAAGAAAAATTTGCAAATTACTTGTTCTTCTATCTGCATCTTTAAAGCATGAGTGATCGTGTGAAGCATTTGCTGCAATAACAAACATGTTAATTTGCACAATAATGTTAATAATAACGTGAAATAGAAAAAGGTTTTAACATATTAAAAGAAAAGCTAAAAAAACAGCATTTATAAAAAACTCTTGTTCTATTTCTGTACACAAAAGACTTTTAGTTTACCGTTGGATAATTAAGTGATCTATTTTGCGAGGTACCTACACTCTGTACATATATATGATTAATGTCTTCTCGAGGCTATTATGAACAACATTATATTCTGTACAGAGATAGAAAGAAATTATTCTTGCTGTTTCTTCGACAGTTTTAAATTACTTTCTCTAACTTATACACCCTGCTCGTACAAACGTATTCCGAGACTTTCAACATATTTCAAGGATCTCCTATTTGAATTTCAATGAATACCAGTGAACAATTATGCTTATATTTCAGAAGATTTTATTGTCATTGATTGATGCTTTTCACGAGAAACATAATTTACGCGTGTATGCTTTTACATAAATATTGTTGTTCCTATTAGAAATAGGACAAAATACTGTTCCTTTACAATTGAATTTTCAAAAATATTATTTTTTAATTATCAAGCATTTCACAGTTTCATTTCCTATTTGATGGAATAAATTTGTATATTTTCATCAATATTTTTCTTTTACCGAATTTACCATTTATGTGGAATCTGTAAGTGTAACATTTGGATACATGTAAAACGTAATGTGTGTAAAACTAATATGATTTTATGGGGTGTTCGAACATTCGAGAGCGTGACTTATGTCGTACGCTTGTACGATCAACATTCCGTAACGTTAATATTCGTCATCACTATAATCAACTATGGTATAGAACTTCTCACGTCGGGTTGAAGTGGCATGTATTTATGGAGCAATCAACCTCGGTGAATTACTTGGCTTGCTATATAGCAAATAAGCAGGTACTACACGGAACACGGGAAATTTTCGAACAGTTCCACGTACGAATACAAACGTTACGAAATAATTCAGCTAATTATGCGAAATAGTCATTGGTTAAAATTATATTACGTAGAACAGGTTTATAATTAACGTAATTCTCTTGAAAATAAATGCTCAACATGAACATTCCGCCGAATTGGTGAAATTCAATCGTACTGAATGGAAAAGGAACGGTTTTCCTTTTACGTTAAAATACGTGCTTTGTGAATAATTAAGAGTATTCAAAACAATTTCAAATATTTTACTTAATTAACGTTCAAATTATGAGATAGAGTTTTAATCGTAATAATGGCTTTATATGCGACCAGTTTTCTTGGAGTCCGTGAAATGATTCTGAAATTATTGAAAAATCATAATATCAGCTGTGTTCCCTCTGGTATTTTGATATTTCCGTGTCCCTGTTCAAAATACACCAAGGCTGAAGGAAATGAACCTTCAGGAGGACCAAAACTAAGACAAAAATTTCCAGGGTGGCTTGTTCCTCGTCGAGACAGCATTGTTCTTCTAGCTGCGCTTAATGAGTACCGCTATACACGCTGTAAATAGATGCTCGTGTGTGTCTCGTAAACTGTTAAAGGAAATAGTGCTAAAATAGTGCTCTTCTGAAAATAGGCTTATGCATATGGCGCGTGACTCAAAAGGAAAACGGCTATAACTTATTATAACAAGTAATTTACTATTATAAGCAACAAGATTATACAAAAAGATACATTACAAATACTTTTAACAAACATTTGAAATGTGATATAGCATCATTTGCAAAGATCTGTAATCCCCAACTGACTTACCAACTTTGCCCATAGTTAATTTTATAATCATTATCAGAAGAAAACTGATTAAACTTAGACAATAATTTTAAGTAAAAATTTTAATAGCTGTCTTCTGACACTTTCGTTAAAAATACCGATGTTCAACAGAAAATCTTCAACGAAATCAATTAAACGAGAGTTGTTCGTTCGGCGGTTATAATCAATTCCATCGTAAGTTTCCTTACGAATGTCCTTGCCTTCCGCTGCACATTTGCGTACGCTGGGTCACAATTAAGGAGAAACAAGTATGAGCAACCATGTTCGAGACAGGAAGGTTTTTCAAGAAAGTACAGTTACGCAGGGAAAAGGCGTACAAGGGAGCGAGCATCCTGCAAAACCAATCTGGGGAAAATTGCACCCTTGACCCAGCCATGTTAATTCCCGTATCCCCCGTCTCGGTGAACTATATAGGTGAGTAGGTGAGTTTCGGTTGATGGGGCTAGTTGTTCGAATACGCGAGTACCTACACGCTCGTGCTGGTTTCATTATTTCACAAAAAAGAAAAGCCGATGTCGTGCGGAAGGATTGGAACACGCGAACCGCGTTAGAGTGTTGATCGACTCTTCGGGCACGCGATACCAACGAAAGGTCTTGAATTTCTTCATCTGTTCGCCGGTAAAATAAACAAACGAATATGCGTGTGTAGTGCGCGAAACGGTTGCTACTATTAATTCCTTGGCCTATGATTTCATCGACAGCTGGACTTGTTGGATCTAGTTTCTCGTTAACGATTCACTGGAAAAAGGGAAACAATTTAAAAGTTCTTTTAGAAAACATTCTGAGTAGTAAAATTGGAGAATTTTGTTTCCTTATTAGTCTAAAAAACATTCTGAATAGTACAATTAGAAC